TCAGGATGTAAAATAGGTATGTTCAACCATATTGTTGGATAATAATGAAAATAAATAGCAAACGACGACATTAATTTGTATAGCAAATGATTTTTGCAATATTCTTTGACAAAATCAAGTAAATTTGTATGATAAGATGTACAAACAATGATACCTAATAATTTGCAAAATAAATAAAGAATAATAGTGCCTAGAAAAAAATTTGGACCAACAATATGTACTAAGTCATATTCTTCAAAAAGAATATCTTTGTACAATTGAAATGATGGTAAACATTGATGAATATCAGGATTAAAAAAATACAATGGAATACTGGTTAATTTTCGATTTGCTGTTGGACATCTTTTTGGACCATAAACGGTGACATGATGACCGGATTTTTTTAAATACTTTATATAATATTCAATACGAATAGTGATACCACTTGTTTGAGGATGAAGATATTCCGAAATAATTAATATTTTCATTTTAAGAAAAATATTTGATCAATAAATATATTTAATTTTTGTCTGAAAGAAAAGATTCTCTTGAAGAAGATATTGAAAATATTTTTGTTGCACGATCAATTTTGTTTTAAAAAAGAAAATAGATATTTTCTTATTGGTTTCATTTGATGAGAGATACAAAAAAGAAAAATTTAGACAAAATCAATCTTACTGTATTGAATAGAATAATTCAAAAATAACAAATAGATTCAAATCGACAAGTAGAGCTAAATGATTTGAAGGTTTTTCAATTAATCCAAACCAATGAAAAATAGGTGCAATACGAAATGTTAAGTGTTTTCAATACTGTTAAGTTGGTGTTTTATAGACACTACAAGTAATTTGTTTCGCATAATTGTAGATTTCAATTACTCGATAGCAATCAACATGCATGCCTATGAAGTTGTTTTTGTAGGTGTTGAAGGTAATGCATTTTTTGTTACGCATTTATTTGTATTGATTTTAGTTACTTGAAATTAATTACTTTCAATTTTTATGAATAAGAAAAAGAAGAAGAATAATCAATTTTTCACCTACGTTAAAGTATAGAATACTAATCGAAGATAGTTTCGAAGAGTACCTGATGTGATCTCTCTACAACTATTACTAATTACAGCGCTAGACAGAATGTCAGTTTGACTCAGATTTCTTCTGCTCAATCAATTGTGTTCTCTCATATATACTGACTAACCATATATTAGCCATAAGAGTTGGTGTATGTCACAACATAGTCCTTATGTTATTGTACGGGTGATACTAAATAAACAGATCATTTTATGCCTGATGACATTGAGACTTGAACACAGTATCTTGGCAGTAGATGCCAAACAATTTAACTACTCATCATACTGTTTTTATAGTTGGTATCATAAAGTAGGATAGTACTTTTCAATAGATTTAATATACAAGTGCATAATTATTACATAAGAGAAACTAATTATAAAAAAAAACTATTTTTCATGAATAAATAATTTCATAAAGAATTAAAAGAAAAATATGTGTGATTGTATGATTATATCAAATGCTGTTGCAATATTTTGGGTATCGTCCTTGTGTTTTTTTTTCTGTTTACTTGCCTACCTAAGTATTGATATGGTTGACTTCACAGAATAATGAATCACGAAGTAAAAATAATTCAGGTGGGCGATAAAGTATAAAAGAAGCAATATAACGAATACGACGCTCAAAAATACAATATTATTTTATCCTAAGCATCATTGCTTTATCACTTGATTACATCATTAGAATATTTGACTCCACGTAGTAAGTATTATCTTATTAAATTTATGTCAATGGTCTGAAGTTTCCAAACATATTTTAATTTATGTTTACTGTTTACTTAGGTCGAACAATGTAGCACATACATTAGAAAATTTTACTGATTAAAATTTCTAAATCATAGAGGTATAATCGAAATTGATAATATGAATCGAAATTAAAATTAATATCAATTGATCAGAAGAATTTTAATCTATTAACAGTAAAAGGGAAGACATCGTACAAAAATAATCGTGATTTTCTGAGAAATATTTTTCACTGAATAAATTCTCATTTTCCATTATCGTATATACATCGTATATAAATCGTTAAGGATTATAAACGTTCTTGAAAAAAATGTAAGATCTACCAAGGTCAAAAATTTAGCAGAATTTTGATTTCGTTATATGATACATCGTTGGCGATAGAGTTTCATTTGCTGATTCAGAATATGTACTTTAAATGTTTTTGTCAATTATTTTTGATGAAAAATCCTCAGAATACAGGTTACTACGAAAAGTACGGAAAAATAATTAGTTATGAAGAAATTCTAGATTTGAATCGTAGACCATCAGTTTATTTTTATGAAATCGATTTATTCAAATTAAGCATCGAATATTGAGTATAAGTGACTGAGTAGCATGAAAAACTTGACCAAATCACATCGATTTTTGGTGTAAATATTTTTCGTCAAAATTCAATCCCAAAATCTGTCAGTTCTTTTTTTTTTAGTAATTTTACCTCTAGTCTCTCTCGTAAGGTTAAATTTCGACTAAAAAATATTTTCACTAAAAATAGATGCTTAATCTGGATAAATCAATTTCGTAAAAATAAACTGATGATCTACGATTTCAATCTAAAATAACTAGTCATTTTTTCGTATTTTTCATAGTAATTTGTATTATAAGGATTTTTCTCCGAAACTAATTACCAAAAATATTTAAAGTACATATTCGAAATCAATGAATGAATCTCTATCGAACCATATATCACTGAACGAAATCAAAATTTTGCTCGACCTTCCATATTGGTATACCTACCTTTGACAAATGTAGTCAAATATGCGTTGTTCACATATTATTTTCACCTGTACATGTTATTTTTCTAATATCATTGCAAAAAGTGTGCGTATGCAAAATATTCACAGATTAAAAATCTCCTTGTATTTAAAAATTAAATAGAACTGAAAGCACCAGATCATGTGAATTTTGTTATATGTTCTCTATTCTTTTCCTATAATTCGTATATATTACAGTAAACCAAGCAAAATTTGAGTGACTAAATTCTGATGAAAATCAAACTAAAATTCATTAAATTTCGACACTAAGTTTTAAAAAAACCTTGAAAAATATCGATAAGATAATACATTAATATCAAATTCATGTAAACCTTTTATTTTAAAAATATCTTCAAAAGAAAAAACGTGTTATTTTAGTTATTCATGATTACATTTTCGAGTTAAAGAATTATAGTTCAGATAAAAGTGTCAATTTTCGGCTATGAAGTATTAGAGACAAGGGGGAACAAACTGATTACTAATACTAGTAATCAATTTGTAATCACGAGTAATCATCAGTCCCGAACCGTGGGGTCCTCAAGCCCCATTTTTGAAAAAAAAATTTTTTATTACAGAAATAGACTTTTTGGGAAAAAATAAATTTTCTCCAAAACACCCCAAAATTTTGTTGCAAAAATTGTTTTTGGAAAAAATTAATTTTTTCTCAAAAAGTCTATTTCTGCAATAAAAATTTTTTTTTCAAAAATAGGACTTGATGATCCTACGGCTCGGGTTGGGGACGGAGATGGTTACGAAACCGTTAGCAGTTACCCGGGAATGTAACGGTAACTTCCCACCCCTAATCACAAGTAATCACCAGTAATCACTAGTAATCACAAGTAATCATCAGTAATCACTAGTAATCATTGGTAATCAAGTAATCAGTTTGCTCCCGCTTGATTAGAGAATGCGATGTTCTATTGCACACAGATACAAATCATAATGTTTTTCGTTGTTAATCAAATTAGCCTCTTTTTTGTTGCGAACGAAAACTATTTCGAATAAAAAAAAAAAAGTCACTTCATCAATATCGTAATTAAAATTTATAGATTTTTTTTTTCTTAAAAGGACATGTGCATGTGATGGACATTAATGACAGGAGAATTTCGAATCCACAAATCTTCCTTAGAGAGTTACGGTAGTTTCGCTAAACTTTTACGAAAATATCTGATATTGGCAACAAATTTAAACAACGGATTGTTGGCTTGATATTTTATCTGGAATAAAAAGATCAAATTTTTTTTCTAACTATCACTGACATCTCATCGACTTTTAAACATTGAATATCTGAAGACTTTAGGTTTTTCTTGGTATTGCAAAACTTATTTATAGATATTATTTCAAATAACAAAACCGTTTGTTTATTTTTATTTGTCAACACTACTTTTTTCGGTAAAAAATTAACAAAACTATTATAACATTGCAAAACAGACTTGTAAAATCAAATTCTTTTTTGAGATTATTCTAATTTAGACCTCTTCTCTACATATCCAAAAATAGAAGCTCAAAATTAATGAATTACTTCGGGCAATTTTGTCGGGAATACAATTTTTGAAAATCTCTTTGTGTTATGTTTTATTGTAGCTAATGTTAATGCAACTGTTGCCTCAATTGAGAAAAGTGTATTTTTGTATGCTTCTTATATGTCGTTACTTCGTAATAAGTATGTAGGATAGTTGGTAGCAATGTATTGTCTTAGTTTTGATTTCTAGATGTTTTTTTTTCAAGTTTTGGCAATACTCTGTTTTCTACATATTAAAGACTAAAATTTTTTCTTCGCCAGTCTTAAAAAATGACCCAGAAGTTCGTATATCTTTCACCATTTTCTAAACATAATAGAAGATATTTGGAAACTGATCTCATAACCGACAATGAACAATACATGCGTAAAAAAGTTAGGCATCTAGTATATAATATTGTACAGTCAATTGATGGATATTGTACCAATCGATTCCAACAGTATAACATTAAAATAGTATTTTTTTGTAGATGAAAATTCTTATAGCTGGTGGTGATGGTTATTGTGGTTGGGCGTCAGCACTTCATTTATCTGCACGT